GGTTTATATTAGGGTTATATTGGGGCTATATTGGGGTTATATTGGGGTTATATACCACTCGTGGTGTTGGGGTTTCGGCTTCGATTTCAGAGTTTTTGTTGGGCTTTCGAATTTGGCGTGTAGGCCTTGGGTTTCGTCTTTCGGGTTTAGGTCAGGATTTAAGTCTCAGGGTTTAGGTCTGGGCTTTAGAATTCAGTTCCCAGGCTTTCCACCTTAGGTTTGGGCTTTTGAGTCTAGGCTACAAGGTTTAGGTTTCAGGGTTTAGGCCTCAGGTTTGAGGCGTTTGAGGTTTTGGGTTGCGGACTTTTGCTGCCCGGACCCTGACGTTGTGAAATACACAGGCGGGTATATCAATCCAATGACCAGCAAGAGTTCCACATGAGAGGCTCGTCATAACAGGAGTGCCCAAAAGGAGGCCTTGGTTAATATCCGTCGCCAATTCCCCAGCATCAGGAAGTGAAGGTCTACATGATGCACCTGAGGCTTAGTCTTTACGTTTCCGGCGAGTGTCTGCGGGGTCCCGGACGAATAGGGGAACCACAGAGACAAGTCCTAAACCTCGTATGTGATGAGGTCCAGGGTCTCCATTCCGTGCACGCACCGCAGATCGGGCTCAGAGAAAAGCTCGCAAAGATGTCGTCCTGGTTGTCGTGGAGCCCAGCCGGTACATGGGCAGCAATATAATCGTAGCAGTCACCCAAGTCCCATAGTTGGGTCCCTTACATTAGGCTTAAAGACTTGGGCAACCTGGGGCTTCAGGGCTTCTCTAAGCTCGTTCTTATCCTAATTACTGCGACTTGCTGCATTAGGGCCTTTCTGCTCGCAATCCCTGCCGACAGCTGCCCAGTGAAAGCCAACCAAAAAGCTTGTTTTGTTTCTACAGCGGCGAATCCAGAAACGGAATTTTGATCATTCCGTCTGGGGAGAGGTTCAAGTTTAGGTGTCATTGCCCTCCCTGTCAACGGTAGTGATGGGCTGTACCATATGGTGGCCAATCAGCTCCCACAAGTAGCAAGGATACAGACACTCTTCGTTTGCGCAGTACCTCTTGCGGGACCCTGCTGGAAACTTTGGATTCGAAAGCCAAGCCGTGAATTTTAGACCTGAAAATTTAACCTCCAAATAGGAAAGTCCAAAGCCATACATCCGCAATTAAAACTACCCTGAACTCAGAACCGTACATCCCAAACCCCAAGCTGCAAACTTGAGGCC